TGGTTTAGTCACCATGGAATTGGCAAAAGAAAAAAGGGTTTTCAAATATTGATACTGTGGTGACAATATGAATTATTGTAAAGAAAATATTAACATTAACAGTAGTTTTGAAAATGATGATGATATTGGTGGTGTTGGTGGGTGAATGGTGTGGTGATGATGATGGTGGTGGTGGTGGTGGTGGTGGTGGTGGTTGGTGATGATGATGATGATTGGTGGTGGTGATGATGAGGTGGTGGTGATGGTGATGGTGTGGTGTTGGGGTAGTGGTGGGATGATGATGATAATAATGATGATGATGGTTGGGGTGGTGTGGTGATATAATGATGGTGTTGGGGATGATGATAGTGGTGGTAATGGTAATGATGATGGTGATGATAGAAATGATAAAGATGGTAGTCGCAGGTGAAGATGGTGATGACGAATATGATAGTGACTATAATGATGAAGGTGAATATGATCACGCCAACGATGGTGACCAAGATTGTGACTAAAAACAACCATGACCGTTATCACAGGAATCATGATTATATAAATAATAGTGAAATTCAAAATCAAAACACTCGTAGAAGGAGTAAATAATGGTGACTTTATGCACCAAATATAAAATTTCGAATTTAAAAAATCTATTATAAAGATAGCATTGAAACAACACGGGTAACAACAAGAGCAATATTTATAATGACCAAAATAATGATAAAGAGAACTCTGCTAATTAGCTGATAGTTATGAGTATTATACTCATTATGGTAATGATGATGATGATAGTAAACGTTCTTAATGATAATAGTAACACTAATAATATTAACAGCCATAATAACAACAATAATGTTTTAAAAATAAGTAATAATAATAATAATAATAATAACAACAGCAATAATGATGATAATAACGATAATGATAATAATAATGATGATGATAATGAAAATAACAATAACAATAATAATGAGATAATAATGATTATAATCATATTGATAATCATGATAATTAAAATAACATTAATGAGAATGATAATAATAAGAACAATAAAGAGAATGATAATAATAAAAGCAACAATAATGATGATGGTGATATTAATAGTAATGATAATAATAATGATAATGATGGAGATGATGGTGGTGATAATGATAATGATGATAAGAATGTTAATAATCAAAATAATAAAAGATCTGCAACAAAAATATGAACAATAACAATGATGGCTATACTATTAATGATATCAATGATAATAATAACATCATTATCATATATCATGTTATAATTATCTTGGTGAAATATCAATAACAGTATGTTGTAAATATAATGATATGAAACATGATGTCAGTATTAGTGGAGAAGTTATATCAGAATAATATTGCCATTAGGCCTTAAAAAATATATACAGTATAGTCTAACCATGATGAAGAAAAATCATAGAAAATAAGATGTTTCTCCACTAAAACAGAAACATTGGGAAAAACAGTGATTCATACTTGTCTTTGAAAGGAAGGAAGGGAGGGAGGGAGAGAGAGAGAGAGAGAGAGAGAGAGAGAGAGAGAGAGAGAGAGAGAGAGAGAGAGAGAGAGAGAGAGAGAGAGAGAGAGAGAGAGAGAGAGAGAGAGAGGGGGGGAGTCAGGGACGAATAGAGGAGACAGAGAGAGAGAGAGAGAGAGAGAGAGAGAGAGAGAGAGAGAGAGAGAGAGAGAGAGAGAGAGAGAGAGAGAGAGAGAGAGAGAGAGAGATGAAAAGTGGCAAAAAGACATGTATTTGCAGTCTTCACAGTAGATATCGGAAAGTAATACACCAAGGTGCAAGCCACACGCACCACCGCACGGCTGCTGTCTGTTCTTTTGTTCTCATCCTTAACAGTCTAAGTACAAAAGCTATCCCTGGCAGCTGCTTTCACTGCAAGACAAGCACCTGCTCTGTCTCACAAGCTTGTGCGAGAAACCTGTCTTTCGCTGTTTAAAAATTGGAAGAAAACGCTTCCACTTCCCATCGTAACGAGGTTTATGTCTTTATGCATTATACAGGAGTCGGAGGATATACAGTTTTCATGCGAATGCTTATATATCTTTTACACACAGATTCAACGTTAATTGATGTTATATATATCATAATATGGATATAAAATATATCATAGAATGAGTAATAACGTATATTGTAGAAACAATGTGCAATGCTATAGACACTCCCCTAAAAAAGGCTGAGAAATGGAAAATGGTTCAAGGCAGACGACGCCGGCCTCTACATAATGTCTCTGCTCGAACCTTTATATAACCGCGTGGTCTCGGCTCCAAATTTTAGTTGTTTTTGACACCAGCGGAGACATTACGGGGCAGATGAGGGATTCTGAATCCTCTCCAGAAAATCAATATACTCTATCTCATTGCCTACGTGACGACCAAGGACCTCTAAATGGCATTGGTAAACGCAGGCTCGGAATTTTTTCCCATCGGCCATTAGCACATCCTCTCGACACAGACGTATCCTTCCTTTGCACAGCTCCTTAAAAGACGGGCTAACACAACCACAACTCTGTCGATTTCGCTCATTAAACCCCGAGATAAATGAGATAAATCCATTTGTATTTAGCGCGGCGACGAAGAGCGCGCCAAAACCGTGAGAGAGAGGATCGCCGGAGGAGGACGAGCGCCGAGGACGTGACGTTTAGGCAGTCGCGAACATGGCGTCTCGATCGACGGGCGGAGGAACCATCCTCGCCTCGGGAATCAGAACGGTACGTGAACTTAAACTCTTGTGCTATGACATAGGGCGAGGCCGGTGTTAGCGAAGTGGAAATAAGGTGGGATGTTTTTTTCGGCAAGGGGAATCCTCCAGGAGGTAGGCCTAGGCGGGGGAGAAGTCCAGGCGAGGAAGGCCTTTGTCAAGGGAGTGTGCTTGCGGGCGGCGCCGTGGAGAGACTACACTTTCACTCGCTTTCGAGGTGCTCTGCACCCTCGTGGCGCCCCCGGGGAAGGGCTATGGGCATCCCTGTGCTTGCAATGCTCGAGGGAGAGGGGGTTGGAGGCCCCGTGGAGGAGCTCGCTCGCCGAACGCGCCGCAGACGCAGGAGACTTTCGTAGGCCTATTTCTCTCACATTTGCATTTCTAACCAAAGTTATTGCCTGGTTGTTCATTTCGAACAATTGGAACTGTTGCTGCTAATGTTCCGATGCTTTTGAAGCTGTCTCTTCAAGTAAATAATGACTTAAAGAAGTTGAATTTGTAAATAAACAAGTGTCCACTGAAGTGACACCAAACTTGTGATCGGGATCTTTAATCATGTTATAAACATGCTTATCATCAAATGACCAAATGGAATCAGTTGCATTGTGATGAAGTATTGAAACATTAAAACGTTTCTTTGTGTGCTTTTAGTTTACGGATTTTAGAAGAACTTTTACACATCTTTTTGTCGTTATGAAAGTTGTTTATGTTCGGTTTTACTTTCGTTTTCATTTAGATTTTCATTACATACCTATAGCTTGTTTTAGCAAGGAAAGGTAAAAGGTGTTTATCTTTATCTAACATCTGATGAGATATCGTTGTGTGTGAATGAGTAAAAGATGAACTGATGAAGGGAAAAGCAATAAAATAAGTATAGAATATATCAGTTTGGAGAAATGCTTACCTATAATACAGAGGTATTACTTGTTGGGTTTCATAAATCATAGTTTGTATATATAATGTATATTATATATATATATATATATATATATATATATATATGATAATTTAAATCATTATTTGGATAACGTGTGGTTCTTTCATTTAGATATAATTTTGGCGCTTGAAGATAATTGAACGATGACAGATATATTTAGTTAAATTTCATCAGAGGCAGTAGGCTACTATAAACATAAGTAACTTATTTTTGATTTCTTAAGGTACATTTATGTATATTCATTCATTCATATTCTCTCTTTCTTTCTCTTTCTTTCTTTCTGTTTCTCCTTTTTCACTCTTTCTCTTTTTCACTTACTCTTTCTCTCTCTCTTTTTTCTCTTTCTCTCTCTCTTTTCACTTTCTCTCTCTCTTCTCTCTCTCTCCTCTCCTCTCTCTCTCTCTCTTCTCTCTCTCTCTCTCTCTCTCTCTCTCTCTCTCTCTCTCACACTATTTTCTTGTTCTCTTCTCTTTCTCTTTCTCTTGTTCTCTTTTCTTTTCTCTTTCTCTTTCTCTTCTCTTTCTCTTTCATTTTCTCTTTCTTGTTCTCTTTCATTTTCTCTTTCTTGTTCTCCTCTCTTTTTCTTGTTCTCTTCTTTCTCTGACTTGTTTTCTCTGTCTCTTCTCTCTCCTCTCTCTCTCTCTCTCCCTCGTGTGTCTCTCTCTCTCTCTCTCTCTCTCTCTCTTCTTCTCTCTCTCTCTCTCTCTCTCTCTCTCTCTCTCTCTCTCTCTCTCTCTCTCTCTTCCTCTCTCTCTCTGTCTGTCTGTCTGTCTGTCTCTCTCCTCTTTCGTTCTTCTTCTCTGCTCTTCTCTCTCTCTCTTCTCTTCCTCTCGCTCTCTCTCTCTCTCTCCTCTCTCTCTCTCTCTCTCTCCTCTCTCTCTTCTCGCTCTGCTCTCTCTCTCCTCTCTCTCTCTCCTTTTCTCTGCGTCCGTTCGATTCTCGTTTCGTCTCTCGGCTCTCTCTTCTCTCGCGCGTCTTTGTCGTAGGGCTCTTCAGGTAGCCTCGTCGTTCAATCTCTTCCCATTACTCCTCGTCGTCTCTCGTGCTCCGTCTGCGTCCTTTCGTCTCGGACCTCTCTTCCCATCGATTCTCTCGTACCTCATCAGCAGCCTCATCCCTCTCTTTCCGTTCGTTCTCTACTCGCAGACCGCTCTACGGCAGACGGTTATCGTCCGGTCTCATATCGCCTGATCCGTCCTCCCGATTGTCTGTCTCTCGCTCTTCCGTCCGGTGTGGTCTTCATTGCTCGTTTCCGTCTGGTCTCCGTAGTCCCCTTCGTCTCTCTTTCGGTTCGTCCCTCTCTTTTTCGTCTCGAATCGTCAAAGCTCACCGTTTGTTCCACCGATCCTCTTTA